GTGAACTGGCCCCCTGTTTAAAAAGTTTGAGGAGCCCTGCTCTAGATCCTAAAGTGTTAGGTGGGCCAAATTTGAAGACACATGCAAAACAGAGCATGACATGTCTTGAGGAGCACAGAGTCATAAGAAAACTAAGGATGTGGATCCAAATACAGCACCAAAATTGGCAGTATCTCCTGAGGTCAATGGTAGGAATCAGAGAATGAGATGGAAGACAGACAGGGACAATAAGAGCTAAACATATGATGACTGCCTTTCTCTTGGCGTTCCCAATTTCTCCGACCTTCTGACCCTGTTCAGCTCAGTGTCTTTGTGACTTCTCATTCCAACTCTTAAGTTTTGGAATGTTTCAGGATTTTGTATTAAAACCGTTTCTTCTCTTAATTCATATCCTCTCCCTGGTGATCTTATTCAGTCACGTGGCTCTAAGTATCCATTTGTTGACAACTCCTAATTTTCTCCAAACTTATGAACTTCTGTAAGTTTTTGGAAATGTAGGACTTCTCCAAACTTATACTCAACTCCCTCCACTTAGATATCAAATAGATATCTCAGATGTAAAATGCCTTAACTGGACATTCTTTTTGAGAAGTAAACAAAGAACACTATATGATTGTTAACTATTCTTTTGTTTGTAGCTATAATAACTAGATTGCTTTATAAGACCCAGTTAAAATAAATTATTTTTTAGATAATTACTTAAAATTACATAAACAGTACAACTTTAAAATTAATGTTTCAAGTCTATTTATATACATGTTCATTTATACATTCCTTTAGTAAGAGTCTACAATTAACCAGACTCAGCAATTCAAAGAGGCATAAGACATAGAACCTCTCCTCAAAGAACCCAGCATCTAGTAGTGGAGACAGACACATACCAAATGTCAGTGAAGCGGAGAAGAGAAAGGCAATAAGAGTAACTTCCTCTTGAGGGTCATTGTTAATTACACACCATGGAACACCATTTCTCAGAGGGCTCCAGTCTTGGCAATATTAGCTTTAATCCTGGAAATTAGAAGAGTTGTAGGTAAGTTCACAACTGTGCTTATAGCTAATAACCTCACAAACTCTGTATGTGTCAGATATGTGTTATTTTATAAGCATCATCTCATTTAATCTTTACAATAACCCTATGAGAAAGTTGCCATTTTGTTTAATTAGAAAATGGAGGTTTAAAGCATTTCAATACTTGCCTAAGTCACCCCAAGTAATAGGGTGGGGAAATCCATATCCTTAACCACTATTCTAAACTGCCTTTTTACAATTAGTGCTTTAACTAATGAAAATGGTGGTAGGTGGTTTTTTTTTTTTTTTTTTTTTTTTGTCTCTGTACTAAAATAAAATAAAAAAATAAATGTATGAATGATCCAAATAGTGAATATCCATTATACTTTAGTAATAATCCCCAATTACTAAACACAATTGGATAAAAAGGACAATAGCATAGGAAGCTGTGAAATGGTAGGATCAGTTTTCAAAGCTCATAAAGACACAGCAGCAGTAGGGATATTATTTCAAGTTTCCTGCTGATTGCCTTTGGAGATAAGCTCTTAGTTCTAAAGTGCATTCTGTGTTTTGGGCCTTCTCTTATTACTATAACACAAGCCGAGATGGAAAAATCATCAACCTTGCAAAGACTTAGAGAATAGAAGCCACAGCCTACAGGAATATCATCTTTTAAATTTATTACCTGTTATGGATTGATTTATCACATATGGCAGGAATTTAAACCAGATGTCTGCTTAACGGAGGGGCCATCCCATGATGGACAGGGGAGAAGAAAGGAATGCGACCTCATCTAGAAAGTAGAGAATGAGAACTTGTAGGTGATTCAGAAGTTTCCTTTTATGTTAGTTATACAATAGAGTAAAAGTTCTTTGATCATCTTTTCAAATTAACCAGGACTTCATTTCTGAATTTGGAAGTTGTTGAAATTTCTGGCTTATGAAATACATTATTTTCATTTTGAGAAAGACCTAATATTTTCAGAGTAACTTTTATTTAATCTAAAGCAAAACATTCTTGGAAAATGCAGCTCTAATATGTAAATATTAACATCTACTCATCCCCGTTTGCTCATTTTAATGTGGAATTTAGACATCACATTCTAATAGCTAGAATTCAATAGCACATTTTTGTCTGCCATCTGTTTTTTAACTGAAGCTTTAAAATATCTTTCAAGTTTATATTTAAACTAGAGGCCCGGTGCATGAATTCGTGCATGGGTGAGGTCCCTCAGCCTGGCCAGCGATCAGGGCCAATGGCAGGGGGAGGGGGGGCGTAGCTGGCTCAGGGGAGGGACTGCAGGAGATTGGCCCCAGCAGCAAGCTAACCAACAGTTGATTCCACCAAGAATTGGGCTCCCTTTTCCCTCCGGTCTGGGTCTGGGGTGCGGGCGAACCAGATTCAGGGCTGTCAGGGCACCAGCAGCAAGGTCTGGGTCAGTGCACATCATAGCTACCGGCCAGTCGTCCAGTCATTCTGGTTGTTCCGGTCATTCAGTCATAATGGTCGCTTGGGCTGATATATATATATAGATACCAAAAGTTACTTTATTTTAAGGATGTACATTTAAGAAAAAAAAAGATTTTTTTTCACATTAGCATAACATAAATTATCAATCTATAAATATATAATTTTTTTTTATTTTTCAAAACTTTAAAATTATTAGTGGAAGAAATATTTCTCATAATAAATGTTTTAGTTTAGAAACAGTCTTGGAACAAAAAATACACAATATGGAATAACTGCAGACATTCCTCTATTTTTGAGGGGAAATTATCTTGAAAAGCATTAATTAATTGAGCAAAGATATCTTTCTCAAAAGTACTTGTGGTTTAGTTTTCAGTTTATTTTTACTATACATTTATGTGATAAGACAATTTTTTTCAAGACGATTAGTCCATTTAAACAGTTATATCACACAGGAGAACAACCCAAAACAATTGATTAGACAAAGGAGACACGCACATGTGTACACTTACATGTAGATTGACTGCCAAAGAGAGTTACTTTGCTCAAAGCTAGAGCAGTCATTGACAGTCTATGAAAAGCACAGAAGGAAGGCCCTTTTCTGTGTAAGGAAATTCAACACATGCCTAAAAGAAGCTACGTGAACGTCTCACTGTATGCCTATACCTGCCTAAACAATTGGTTCATTTGTTTAACTTTTCTCAAACATATATTGAGCACACGTTGTGTTCTGAATACTCTTCTAGGCATAGGGGGAAAGAAAATGAAAAAGATTCATAAATGATATGTCTTGCTTAACCAGTGTAAGGTAATTATCTGGTGACCTTTCTATAAAAGTTAAATTTACATGCAACAAAATGCAATATATGCTAAGTATATAATTGGATTAGTCTTAACAAGTGTGTATATTCATGTAACCACTGCCCAATCAAGATATAAGACACTTCCACCACCCCTAGCAAGTCCCTTCATGTCCTCCTTCAGTCACTCTCCCTTCCCAAATAGGCAATTTTATTATAATTTCTGTCATCATCAGTGAGTTTGTCTGCTCTTGAAGTCAAATAAATGGAATTAAACAGTAAGTGTTATTTTCTGTCTGATTTGCTTACTCTGTGCAATGGTTTAGAGATTCATTCATATTGTTGTATTAGTAGTTCCTTCCCTTTAACATGGATTAATATTCCTTTGTATAAATGTACTTTTTTTAAAAAAAAATCCATAATCTTGTTGACAGACATTTGTATTTGTTTCCAGTTTTTGGTTGTTAGAAATAAAGCTGCCATTAACATTCTTGGTTACATTTTTGTGAATATATATTTTCATTCTTTTGGATAAGCCAGGAGTGGAACTGCTCAGTCATTAGGCGGGTGTAATTTATTAAAAGCTCCCAATAATGCAAGGAGGCTGTATCATGTTATACACCCACCAGCAGTGTGTGACAGTTCCGCTGCACTACACATTCAGCAACAATTGATGTTGTCAGTCTTCTTAGTTTTAGCCATTTTAGTGGGTGTGAAGTGGAATTTCAATGTGGTTTTAATATTTCCCTGATGACTAATAATGTTGAGTACCTTTTCATGTGCTTATTAGCCACTTGTATGCCTACTTTTGTGAAATGTCTGGTCAAGTCTTTTGCCTATGTTTTAATTGTGTGGTTTTTTTCTTTTGTTTTTGATTTGTAGGAGTTCTTTATATGTTGTAGTTTCAATGCCCTAGAATTCCTCTATGTTCTCCCTATTCATCCCTCCCTCCCCCAAATCCCTGACAACCATTGATGTACTGTCTCTGCAGTTTTGCCTTTTCCGGAATGTTATATAGTTGGAATCATATAATATGTGGCCTTTTCAGATTGGTTTCTTTCATTTAGTCATATGCATTTAAGGTTCTTCCATGTCTTCTCAAGGCTTGACAGCTCATTTCTTTTGAGCGCTGAATAACATTCTATTGTCTGGATATACCAGAGTTTATTTATCCATTCACCTACTGAAGGGCATCTTGGTTGCTTCCATGTTTTTGCAATTAATGAATAAAGCTGCTATAAACATCCATGTGCAGGTTTTTGTGTGGACATAACCTTTCAACTCATTTAAGTAAATATCAAGGTGTATGATTGCTTGATCATATGGTAGAAGATGTTAGTTTTGTAAGAAACTGTCAAACAGCCTTCTCAAGTGACTGTACCATTTTGCATGCCCATGAGCAATGAGTGAGAATTCCTGTTGGTCTCACACCCTCACCAACATTTAGATGTTCATTCTAATAGGTGGCATTGGTATCTCATTATTGTTTTAATTTGCAATTGCTTAATGACATATGATATTGATCATATTTTCATACTTAGTTGCCAACTGTATATCTTCTTGGTGTCTGTTAAGGTTTTTGTCTATTACTTAATCAGATTGGTCTAATTAAAAATGTATGTAAACATTATAAAGATAGTAACACAATCAAGCTAATTAACATTTCCATTACCTTATATAGTTACTATTTTTTGTGTGGTGAGAACATGTAAGATCAACTTTCTGAAAAATATGGACTGCTTCATGAATTTGCATATCATCCCCGTACAAAGGCCATACTATTCTTTTCTGTATCATTCCAATTGTAGTATGTGCTGCCAAAGAAAATACTCAAGGTTTTTATTTTTTTTCATACATTTTCCCAGTTGTTCCAACACCATTTGTTTAAAAGACTTCCCTATCCCATTGAATTGACTTTGCACCTTGGTAAATACTCAATTGACTGTATAGTATGTGTGCATCTATTTTTTATTTCATTATTCTGCTCTATAGACATATACACATTTTATTTTATGATTGTGACATATAATCCAGGCTCGATTCATTATTATAATTTACACATATTTATTATAATTGTATCCATTAAAAAAAAATTCCACATGTTCATGGGTCGCTAAAAGTATTATGGGCCTTAGGCACTGTGCCTAAGGATAACTGGCCTTCTAGGGGTAAAGCCAGCTTCTGCACATGTAGCCATGTCAGAAACTAGATGTAGAGGCTTATGAAACTTTCTCTAGGAGCATCAGGTGAGCTTGTAGGCCCTGAGCAATTATCTAGTAGCCTGTGATCTATTACTCTTAATGTGATATTCATTGTATTATCCCTGACCCTTCAGTAAGGTCTTGCATGCCTTGCAATAAGAGGTGGCGATCATCTCTACATAGGGATATGCTCTTATTAAGTCTGTCTGTAGCCGGAGGCACCCTATTTTTGTGAGAAACTATGTAGCGATAGCTCTGCTTGTATTGGAGGAGGCGGTGAGGGGAAGAATGATATATTTCTTCCTTAGCTTATTATAATTAGAGATATTTGTATGAAAATAGAATCTCTGCTGCTTAAGTGTTGCTCAGCTCCTGCTGATCACTCCTCACTCACAGGCACCGTCCCGTCCTTTGTGATAGAATAGTTGCTGTGGAGATGATTATCCTGTCATGGAGAAAAGAGACTTATGAATTTAAATAAAGAATGAGCAGCAGAAAAAGAAAAAAGAGCAGCAGGAGCAAAAGAACTCTGCCAAAAGCCAAACATTTAATCCAATTTAACTTTCTCTTGCCTTTTAAATATTTATTACATCATAAAGTTGGGTGTACCGATTTAAAAAAAAACACACACACAGTTCAGGGTTAATGACAAATAATGACAGAAGGAAAAATTAAAAGAAAAGGCAAGATATATTGTTGACAGTCTTTACAGAAACAAGAGTGTGTGCAAGTTAAAAAACACTCAACAATAATAAACATACGCTACTGGGCCGTACTGCCATGGCTTAGATAAACAATTAAGCTATTTGGATAGTTCTGTTGCAGCCTAACTTTTGATAAGGTGTGGAGGTCACTCAGACATATTCAACAAGCAGAAAACACAGAGTGTTGAGCTGGAAAGACCGTGCGTGGGCTTTGTATCAAACAGAGCTGGATTGCCTATCACAAGTATTGATTTTAGGCAGGCTCCTGGGCCCTCTGTGAAGTTCCATTTCATCAAGCATAAAATTGGGATACATTTGTAGGGTTGTTTTCCGGGATGTTCAATTGGCCTGGATTCATATGGCCATGCCTGTTATTTATAGCCAATGTCTATTCTGGCTGGTCATTGCACTCATCCTGATAGGTCAGTGTCCATTTGGTACTAGTTATTATATTTTCTGAATATCGTCTATGTCAATCAGGACAGGATAGGCTATGCCACAGCAATAATTTCTAACACCTCAGTGGTTTCACACAATGAAATTATGTTTTTTGCTCTCATAGATTTCCCTGTGGCTGTGGTAACTGTCCTCCCTACTGTGACTAATAGCTTCCAATCCAAGATCGTTATAGCAGGAAGACGGATGGACATGGGGGAGGCATACCAGCTTTTCATTTCCTTGGCTTGAAAGAAACAAATGAGATTACTACTCAATTCATTGGCCAAAACTAGTCATATGGCCCCAATCTACCTGCAAGGGAGGCTAGGAAATGTAGAGGAGGTTAGGTAGTCATTGGTGAGCACTCAGTGCCTTTGCTACATCATTCCTTGTTTTGTGGGGATTAGATGAAATGCATATAAAGGTCTTATAAAAGTCGTACCTGACAAGCTAGGTCAGACCACAAAGGCTGATCCAGGTTTAAGTCTTGGTGAGAATGACAAGTTGGTTGAGATTATTATTTTTTAATATATGTTGATTGATTTCAGAGAGGAAGGAAGAGGGAGAGAGAGGTAGAAACATCAATGATGAGAGAGAATCACTGATTGGCTGCCTCCTGCACGCCCCGCACTGGGGATTGAGCCTGTAACCCAGGCATGTGCACTTGAACAGAATCGAACCGCAGGCCAACGCTCTATCCACTGAGCCAAACTGGCTAAGGCAAGATTATTTTCATTTTCACTTAAGAAAGAATACACATAAAATTGACCCAGGATACACGGCAGTACATATTGACTATAGCACCCCAATGCCTCCACCTGCCTTTTTCCTTAAGGAAGCATGTCTCAGGTTCAGCAGCCTCAGCGGCCCAAATGGGGGAGGAATTTTCCAGGTCAGCAGAGCCCAGAACAAATTGTCACTATTTTTGGCCGGACTGGATCATGGTGGTGTGGGGATCAATGGGGAACCACATATAAGGTCCCACCCTATAAGGGTCAAAGAATTTCTTGCTGAGTCTCAAAGTTATCTATTCCATGATTTGTTCCTTATTGAATTTTTGAGACTGCATTGATAATTTCCTGAGTTCATACTGTATGCTTATGGTAAATTTATACTATAATTCTATAGGGAATGCTCAAGAAAAAAACCTAGCCTCTTCTCCTAAGGAATTTATAATCTAATTAAAGAGATGAAGTCACTATCGGTAAACAAGTCAGTCAATAAATGGCAAGGAAATATGACTACTTACTATATACCTAAGAAAGAAAATTTAAAAATAGGGCCGCATATAATAAGATGTTGATTTTGAGGTACATATGGCCCCCCCAAAAATAATGAAAGGAGAGAAAAATTACTAGCAAAGTTAGTAGAAGTCGGGCAACATTGCTTCTCCATGGACAGTTAGAGAATATTTTGGTGTCGGTTCAAGTGACAAAGCCAAGAAGTGCAGAAAATTTCAGACCACATCCTATATAATAAAAGGCTAACATGAAAATATAACAGCACAACGACAGGTTGCTATGATGTGCACTTATCACCAGGGGGCAGACGCTCAATGCAGGAGCTGCCCCCTGGTGGTCAGTGCACTCCGACAGGGGGAGCTCTGCTCAGCCAGAAGCCCTGAGCCCTCATGGCTGGCAAGCTCAGGGGTGGTGGCAGGGGCCTCTCCCGCCTCTGCAGCAGTGCTAAGATGTCCAACTGATGGCTCCCAGACTGCATGAGGGTGCAGGTCGGGCTGAGGGTGCAGGCCCCCCCCCCCCGAGTGCACGAATTTCGTGCACCAGGCCTCTAGTTTAATAATAGGACTGATCTTGGAGGCTGAAGAAATTTCAACCCAATTGCTCTGGACAAGGTGACACCAGGAGTAACTTGGATGCTGTGGGAATGGAATGCCTGGCGGAAGACTGGGGAGACACAGCGAGGGGCTAATGAGAAAGAAAAGTTGGGCTAATATACTTATACCAATAGGTTATAGGCCTTTTTGAATTATCTACAATTGCAATTTTTTACCAGTATATAGTTTAAATCTTATTATATTGTAAACATTTCCCTATATTCTGAAATAATGCGTAAAACACCCCAATTTAATCAAATGCTTGCTATATGACTTTCAAATCTCCTAGCCTCAAATTTTTCATCTCTAAAGTAGTGATAACAGTACCTACTTCACATAGATATTATAAAAAAATAAATGAAAGAATGTATGTTTCTGAACACACATTTTCTAATACCTGAGGAATATTTTCTGTCCATTACAAATTATGTGATGATAAAAACTAAAATTTTTCTTAATACTAATGATTAAGAAATGAGTTTAAGAAATTATTTTGTATATTTCTTTATGTTTGGGGGGGAAATTAAAACCTGCCAGAATTCAATAAGTAATGTCTGAAAAATTTGCATAGCTTATCAACTAAAACATAAAGTTGTTATTTGAAAAATAATTTAAATGTGTCTTGGAAGTGTTAAAATTACTTAAAACTCATGGCAAGTTTTCTTGTAATGAAATGCTCCCTTAATTGTATCCATTCAGCTCACTGAGCCACAGTATCAAGAAAACGGCCTTAATTCCTAGTTTCCGATAAAAAAACACCGAGTGCAAATGTGTATATTAAAATGAAAAGCAGTCGTGCGTGACAAAATCTCAGTGCATTAAGAGCATAGGCTTCTGAGTCAGAAAAAAATAGAGTTTCTATCAAGTTCTGTCACTTTGTAGTTGTTTAATTTGGTGGTGAGGGACAACCTCATTTGCTAAACTATAAAATAGGGCTGCATAGACTCACCTGCAGCCAGGCTGCAAGGCTGAAAGCACATGCATCTGAAATGACTAGACATGATAGATGGCTAATAAGTGGTACCTATTTTATTATTCAGCGTGTTCTTGGTAGATAGGCTAGTGACCCTGATCTGTAATTACCGAGCTACTCTGGACTCATCACAATTAATATAATATAGTAATATAATTTGCATAGTTATATATACCGGCTGTCATCCTCACTGAGGGTACTGTTAGATGTGAAGTAAAAAATCTGCAGCTCGCCATTTTCATCAAATAGTAATTCAAGCCAGGCTCCAGAAGATGAAAAACAGAAAATGGAGATGCAAGGTCCAAGGGCACTAGAATAAAAAAAATGACTCTTGGACAATTCTGAGAAAACGGATTATTTCAAGGCTGACATTTATTTGAGAAGTAGCATTAGATCTGTGTGGTGAATTTTGTGCTTGGAGGGGACATGGTTTAGTGCTGAAGATTTTCATATATTTAATAGTCTTATAACGTGTTAAGTGCAGCAAATTAAATAGCTATTTGAGTGCTTTTTTGATGTGCGAAGCAATGTACTTAATTGCCCCTAATAAGTGTCCTTAATTTAGTGAAATCTCTCCCCTGTCTGTTATGGTTTTGACTCTGATAAGATAGAGACTATTTGCTTTCCTCCCTGGGCTGCAAGCAACGAATTCAAGGCAATTCTGCTGTTGAGGGCTACCCAGACTAGAGAATCTTTACTGAGCATTCTTGTCTCTAGTGGCTCAGCAGGCTATTCTGCTAATGGTTCTGCATCATTTTCTCTACTTGAGCCAAGGCCAAACCATGAACCTATGATTCTAAGAAAGTGGTTGCCTTCATCTCCTGAGAAACCTGTCAGTAAGGCACATCCAATAGAAAGACCACAGGAGTCATGCTCATATTCATCTATTATTGACAAGCCCTCTTTTTTCTCAAGCCAGGGTTAGGAATAAAGACTATAATCGCTTTGAGAACAGTAAAACATCTTTTCACAAGTAATGCAAAAAGAATGACCTTGTACAAAGGTCATTTTACAAGTGTACACATAATTCTACAGGATACATTCCTAAAGCAGAACTGCTTTCTCAAAAAGGATGCACATTTTTAATGTTGATGGATATGCAAATTACCCCTCAGTTGTATCAATTTACGCTGTGGCCAGCTATGTCTCCGATGGCCTGTTTCCCACACTTTTCCCAACGGAAGATGTGATCCAAGAAATAATATTTCAGTACTGCTTTAATGTGAAGTCCTCTTTTTATGAGTAAATTGAGCATTTTTTTCTATATTTAAGAGCCATTTGTTTGCCAACATACTTATTAATATCCTTTATCACTTTCTATTTTGGTGGTGGTGTTTTTTAATAGATATAAAGGAATCCTTGATGTATTGGGGAAATTAGCCTTTCATCTCTGGTTCAAATTGCAATTTTTTCCAACATTTAATTTGTCTTTTGTCTTGTAATGCTCTTTTTAAATGAAGAATTTTAAATATTTATACGAGTTATCAATCTTTCCTTATAGGTTCTCCAGGGTTTCTTTATGTTGCATTATATTGATAATAAAATTGACATTTTTAAAAAATCAAATAGGTAAGAAATTTCATAGTAAAACAAAAAGAACCCAATGGACACAGAGCCATAGTCTTATACAACGTACATATAGTGTGTATGTGTTTGGTATCCTCTTTTTTCCCCACATAAACATTGCAACATGTCTTAAAGTATCATGGTTTATTCAACAATTATTCCATACAGATGGAGCCTCAACTCTTTTGTGTTGTACTTGGAACTGCTTTCGCTAATTTAAGATTATAGAAGAATTTTCCCATAGCTTTGAGCAGGACTTTTTAAATTATATTTTCATCTATCAGGAATCTATTTTTATGTTATGTTTGAGGGTCTTTTTTTCCAGATGGCTACCAGTTGTTGCAATAAAATACCATACCAGTTAAAATGCTGTCAGTGATAAGTGACAGAAGTCAACAAAAAACAGCTTTAGAATTCAATGTATGTATTAACTCACATAACAAAAAAATTTGATGTAAGGTCATCAGAGAGTTAATTCAGTGGCTCAACAATGACTTCAAAGATCCTGCTTCTTTCCACTTCTCAGTGTGTTCATTATTATTTTTAAAAACATGTTTTTGTATTGATTTCAGAGAGAAAGGGAGAGGGAGACAGATAGAAACATCAATGACAAGAAGAGAATCCTTGATTGGCTGCCTCCTGCATGTGTCACACTGGGGATTGAACCCGCAACTGGGTTTGTGCCCTGACCAGAAATTGAACCATAATCTCCTGGTTCATAGGTCGACACTGGCTGGGCTGTTGACTTCATTCTTGATTCAAACTGAAAAATGAGGGCTGTGCACTCAAAACAAGCTTAGTGCTATAAGAATTCATTTAACTAGATAATGACATTTGCGTACCACTAAACTTAAATGACCAGGTTTGCAGAATATTTTCACACTATAAATCAACCAAGTCACATCTTTCAAAAGCTATTGTGTCCAATACAACAAATACAGCTTCATGATTCTGACGGAGGCTATGTGGTTACTTTTCACTCTGGAGTAGAATTTGGGAAAATTGGATTCAACTCCTTACCAAATCCTGCAGCCCACCTGCATCTGAACCTGGGTCCCTGTCTTGCCCTTGAGTTAGGGAAGATGCATCCTTCTTCTATCAAGGCCAAAGTCCAATCCTTCCACGTGGCTGTGTACCTTCATTATTACCTTGCTCTCCTTCATCTCCCATTTCTTCCCTTCTCCTGGATTGTTTCTATCAGCAGCCGACATATCTCTCCGGGTCCCCCTTCTGCTTCCAACCACCACTCCATTTTTCTTTCTCACATAATGGAAAAAATTTCTGAAAGCTACTTTTTGTCCTCACCTCCTATTCTCTCCTCCTTAAACTTCAGTCAGACTTTTATTCTCCCATTCCCACACTGATAAGAAACAATTCTTATTAAGGTCGCCTGCGTAGACATCTGTGAAGTCGGACTCTGGATTTTCCTCTGACTCGCCCGGCAGCTCTTTCTCAGCCCCTTTCTGGCTCCTCCTCCTCAGCAGACCTCTTGCAGTGCTCCAGGCTCTGAACTCAGTTCTCCTCTCTTTTCTACCCGAACTCTCAAACTTAACATGTCCGAAGGAGAATGAAGCATTTCTCCTCTTCTTCCAATTCACTCTTCCCAGAGTTGCTTCCATTACTGTAAGTGGTATCTTCATTTTCCTAAATGCTCACATGCATCCAGCAGAAAGTCCTTGGTGTATCAGAATGATGCTCTAACCAATGATGCTCTGGCCACAGCCTATCAGAAAGTCCTACAGATACTTACAAAACAAGTCTTGAATCCAGTTACTGCTATACCTTAGTCCAAGTGACCACCATCTAGCCTGGATTACTAGGACAGCCTTCCAGTCAGTCTCAGAACCTCCTCTCTTTCTCATTCTAGTCCATTCTTCACACAGTAGTCTTTGTGATTTTCCTAGAATGAAAAGTGGGCTATATGACTCCTCTTCTCAAAACCTTTTAAATGGTGTCTCCTCACCCTCTGTAATAAAACCCAATTCCTTTTCCTGATACACAGGGCTCTACAGTGTGGGGTACCTGCCTACCTAACTTCTTCTCTGTCATTTTCTCTCCTCTTCATTCCAGTTGAAGTGCTATGGTTGTTTTTCTTTGCCTCAAGCACTTTGAACTTACACTTGGAATATTCTTCCTCCATACATTGGTGTAGATGTGTCCTCTTACTCAGGGCTCAGCTCATGTGAGAGTTCTTAGAGAGCCCCGTGCTTTATCTACTAATTCAACTACGTCTCTCCCCACCTTCCATCATTCTCCACCACAACTTTCTATGTTAGTATTTACACAGAGCAACACTATGATCAGGACCTGAAATTATTTATTCACGTGTCCCCACTGGAAGATAAGCTCTTTTGAAGGAGAGACTTTGGCTATCTGATACTCTGCTGTGCCCCCCATTATCTGAGACAGGGCCAAACATTTATCCAGTAGTGGGTATTCCATAAATGTTTGTTAGCTGATTTATTACCCCATCTCTGTTTTGGCATGTCATTTTACCTCTTCTGATCTCATTTTCTTCAATATTAAACTTGAAAAAAAATTCCTCTGGTTTAGCCTACCACAATGACTATGTCTTAGAACCTTATAGCAATTACAGGAAAAGTCTTGTCACACCAAAGACTTGTGTCTATGTAGAACATTCGTTCATTCAACAAGCCTTTCTTGAGTGGGGCTGACCATAAGCCTGGTGCTGTTCTGGGCATCAGAGGCCAAGTCATAGCCATGGAGATGATAGTGCATCAGCCTTAGCAAACATATAAACATAGAAAACCCAGGAGGCCAATGCCACCTTGTTCTCCAGGTGGTTTTCTCCTGATACTACACTTTCAGGGCAGCTTTCTCAATACTATTTAGTTTATCTACACTGGGCTCTCTCTAAGCTAACGTTATTGCTCTTGCAGTAGTTAATTTCCAAGAATTCTAGGATTAAGTGATATAATTTATGTGGCTATAACTTTAATAAAAACCATGTAAAACTTAGCTATTAAGGCTGCAGAATTTCTGCAAATCTGATTTAGTTCTAATCCAAACTCTGCCATGCTTCCTAATTTAATTACAGCATGACTTGAAATAAAAATGTGAATTTCATGAATCTAATGTTTTAAAAAATGAATAAGATGAGACTAATAAGGGACTCTATATACATTTAGGTCATGATATGCCAAAGGACTGCTAATTCTCTTGCTAAAATCTGAGCTGATTTAAAATCTGAATTGGAATGAGACAATATTTCATCAAATGTCTAGAATGAAAAGAAATCACTTTCAGAACTGACTACAGAGAATGAAAAATGACTAAGAAAAGAAGAGTGAATTGTTATATATTGTGCTAACTGCCGTTGGTTGGCATATGCTGTAAATCACTCATAGAAAGCAATGTCTACTTATATTTGCTTTAACCAATTATATAAAAGGATACAGGATAGTTATAGAATGTTTTAATCTTGTATATAAACCCTATACTTAAAGCCTTATATTGGTCAAAATGTTTTTGGTTGGGAAGACAGAAATCCAATTCAAATTTACATAACAAAAAGGGGAGCATTTATTCTTTCATATAACTGGGCAAGCCAGGACTGGACTAACACAATGTCATCAGAGAATTCCTTTCTTTCAATCAGAGGCTCTGTTTCTGGTGGAGGAATGTCCACTAAGCAGCTCAGCATTCATATCCTACCAGCTTATCAAGCCCACAGTCTTTTTCAATTGCTAAAATAGAAATCCCGGGCAAGATCCTGATTGGCCTGTTTGGAAATAGACTCACCAAATGTATTTAAAGGCTTTCATGCGCCTAGAGCAGTGATGGCGAACCTTTTGAGCTCGGCGTGTCAGCATTTTGAAAAACCCTAACTTAACTCTGGTGCCGTGTCACATATAGAAATTTTTTGATCTTTGCAACCATCGTAAAACAAAGATTTATATTTTTGATATTTATTTTATATATTGAAATGCCATTTAACAAAGAAAAACCAACCAAAATAAAGTGTTCGTATGTCACCTCTGACACGTGTGTCATAGGTTCGCCATCACTGGCCTAGATTATGCTTTTCTCCTTCAAAACTGTTGTTCCTGCCATGAGCTGATTTTTAGCTAAATTTTAGGAGCCTGTAATCTGATTAAATGGATTCGCCTTGAAGTATTTCCTATGATAGCTTTATCATTTGTAATCTAAATGAACTGCAGATCGGTACAAGGTCAAAATGAGAAAAGGAATTTAAGGTAGTGTGGATGAAGACAGTTTTAAGCAGGTACAATGAATCAAACCAATGTACAAGAGGTTATATATTTTTCTCATATGCGAGGCAGATATGTTGTAATGTACCCCGCAAATCACAGAAGGACGCCTCAAGAAGTCGAATTTTATTGCAATCTGGGACTATGAGGGGCCATTCCCCAAATCTCATAGTGATAAGATGGTCGAAAAACCAGACTTATATAGGCAAAAATCATAAAGGTATTGATTACATCTCAAGGTTTGGAATGAGGAACCTGGTTTGCAAAAAAGCAGTTTACAGAAGCAGAAGCAGCATGTTAATTATAGTTTTGGGTCTCGGGGTCACTGAATTGACAGAAACACATTATCTAGAGCCCTTGGGTCTGGAATGAGGAACCTGGGTTAAACTTAGGCATGTTATCTAAATTACAGTTTTTGTTTTGGGTCTCCAGAACACTGAGTCAACCGGGACACGTTAACTGGAGCCCTCTGACCTTGGGATAATTGTACTGTCCTTCCCAGGTAAAGGAAAATGTGCTTTCTAAGACCAGTATGACCACAACCAATGGGATATTCACATTAAAATCAATAGGTATTTAATCGAATGGGGTGATTTATATAATTCAGAAAATCAAAATAACCTGTCTATTGTTAAACAAAACAAATAGGTTACATAAGCCAAACAGCAGGGTCAAAGGTAAACTATAGTTTCTACCTGAGATGATTGCTACCATATGTCAGATATATCTGGACATCTCTGCCCTACCTGCCCACACCATTTGTAACTGGAAATATTTGGAGTTATATTGGGGGATGCTGTGCAAGTGGTCTACCCTTGGTTTAAACAATGAGAGGTGCACTGTCTGTAGAGAACAAAAAAGCAATGATAAAACTAAGTCAGCTTGCCTTACTTTTATCATCAGGTACAGGCATTCTAAACAATGTCAGTGATACAATATCCCTTCCCACCTCGATGGACCAGTCCTAGTGTTCCTGCACCCCTTGAGGTTTCCCTGTCAATACTTACATCTCCCCATTCTAGACATCAGAATAGTCAGAGCTCTGGTATCTTATTATTTTTTTAAATATATTTTATTGATTTTTTACAGAGAGGAAGGGAGAGGGATAGAGAGTTTGAAATATCGATCAGCTGCCTCTTGCACACTCCCTACTGGAGATGTGCCCGCAACCAAGGTACATGTCCTTGACTGGAATTGAATCTGGGACCCTTGAGTCTGCAGGCCGACACTCTATCCACTGAGCTAAACCTGTTAGGGCTGGTATCTTATTTTTCACAGCTATTGATACCTGACTAGGAGAATTAATGTGTTGGGACTTGCACTATAAGAAAAAGAGTGAACTATAACTCCAAGAAGAATTAATCAAAAGACTGTGCTTCACAAAATAGATGATGATTAACATCAAAATGTGATACAAACAGTAGATATAAGCTTGGATTATAAAATAATAGAACTAGCTCCCAAAATTAATTCAACAGGAAAAGTCTGTTCTGGAAGAGTAAATTCACTTGTCAGCTGAGCATAAGACACTTGTAACAAATAGCTGAATAATGCTAAATGACTGTTAAACTAATTTAAGTGCAAGCATATGAATTTGATTTGGACCAGAGGCTGTGTGTCATGTCCCGCATGAGCATATAAATCCTGCCCCCTCATGGAGTATCATTGCTGGTCCAGCAGGTGGCACTCTTCCCTTTGTGCACTGGTACTAAACTAACCACCTGCCCAATACAAGGTAGTTCCGAGCCTTGCCTTCAGAGGAATCCTTAGAGTCTGTTTATCTATGGCAATAATATGGTTATAAGGGCAACTGCACTGATCTGGTCTTTGTCAGGTTTGGAGATTTGTATCTACACATCTCAGTGCCCCTTTGGTTCTAGAGTTTGCCATCCTTAGTTCTAAGCCTTCATTGGTTTTTGCTAAAATACATGGATTCTGTGTCTAAAGTCTTATGCAATGCTAAAGATCTATATAAAATTGTGATGATTCATATTGTATGTTGAGAAAAAGCAATGTTTCTCAATTTTTTAGAAGAAATCTTTTTCTAATACGTTTCACATACCCCCAGAGCTCTTGAAAGCTTCCCCTCAAGAATCATTGATGAGCATAAGTTGGAGTCCGTCTGTGTATGTTATCCCTAGAAAACATTTTATCCAGCTTAGTTTTCTATAGTTTGTATTATGAAAACAAACAATTTATGTTTTCCAAATATACCACTTAAATATAATAGGTACCTATTTTTCCTTTTTGAAATTGGTCCTCATGCCTTCCCTCCTGTAAAGTGTGATTTGCTGGTCACAAAACAAAGGTACTATAATAAGCATAAGAATAAAAGGCAAACAAACATGAATATGTTATTAAAATAGTTACAGTTAAACAGTTATAAGATACCTTTTCATTTATTACTTCTTGTCATGCTAGCTTCATTTAGAGAATGTTAAATATGTACTAGGCATAGTAATGCACATCCAATGTATTACATATATGCTCTAATTTTCACACTTATTTTGAAGATAAGGAATATAAGGCTTAGAAAATTTATATTATTTCCCTAAATTATGTGGCAAGTTAGTATCAAAATGAGAAGGAGGTTCTAAAGCTTACACTCCTGAGAAAGACAACATATTAGATTATCACAACAGTCTTGCTAATAATTAAAGTACCTTCACTAAAAAAACAAATTATAAAACGTTAACCTGTTTTGTACAACAGCCTATAAAAGATATTGTTGATAAGGTGAGGCATTCTTTAGAAACCGTACAAAGAAAAGAAGAGAGTGTTAAGAAAGATGGCAGGGTACCACAGACTAATTTAATTGATTTTACACTTTCTCTGTGGTTAGCACAATTTTCTAAGAAGATAATTCAATAAAGAACATAGGAAAATATGTTTTAAAAGCAAAATGTATTTAATCTGCAATGTGTGCCACAGTAAATGGGTCAATGTCTTTAATATATAGAAAGCTCTTCCAAATCACTAAGAATAAGAAATCAATAGAACGGAAAAGTACAAGAACAGTCAATTCACAAAGGAACATACATGTATAGCCAGAAAACGCACAGAAAAAATAAGGAATCTTTCTCATTAAGAATTTCAAAAATAAACAATACAGTGTGATACCTATTGCTGTTCCCAAATTGTCAAATATTAAAAGGAATGAAAATAATGATAATAAGAAAATTATAAAAGATATGAAAATGTCAAATGTGATTGAGGAATGGGAAAAGGCATGTATACATTACTGGTGGATAAGTGAATTAAATTGCATTTATACTCCCATAGACTTGGATCTAGATATTTATTTAAATGGAAATATACAAAATGAAAAAATGATGACACAAATTACAGAATATATATAGTATGAATTTTTTTGTAAATAATTGTAACTAAATTTATATGTAATTATAAATTATAATTGCACATATGTAAATCTGTAGGAATCTAAATCAACTTGGGGTTATTGGTAATTGGAATTATCTAAAGATACTGTATTGATATTGAGACTTGGGTGGTTTTCCCCATTTTTTCTTTTTGCTTATCAACGGTTTCTAATTTTCTATAGTAAAATCTAGATTACTTATGCAAATAAACAAAAGCAAGATTTAAGATAAAAGTAGTAGTATGGTGCTTAAGAGGATGAGCTCTGGAGTCAGATAAGTCCAGCTTATCGGTGATCTTAGATAAATCCTTTAAACTTCATAACCTTGGTTTCCTCTTCTGTAAAATGACAATGATGGTAGTGCCTACCTTAGTGGGTTTCTGTGAAGATTACATTAGATAACTGTGCAACTTACAATCAATCACATTTTTGCAAAGTTCCTACTCCTATATTATGGGGCTGTGCAAGGTACTTGGGGAAGTTCAAAGAAGTTTGAGATTGTACCTCTTTTGTGGGCAGTTAAATAGACAAGGTCACTAACTGCCCAAATAGACAGATGTCACTAAATCCAATGAGAACAGGGCACCCAAGGGGTTCATAGTTCTATGTCGTGCGAGGGCATCCCAAAATACACATTTTAAAGGTACTAGATGTCTATTTAACTCATTTGTTCCCTTTAAAAAATGTAACCTAAATGGGTGAATTTCATGCTATGTGACTATATCTCAATTAAGACATTAAAAAGGCAATTATTTTAGTATGTGTTATTTACCTGAAAGAAATGGTTTTAAGAATATTTTAATAGAATATATAACATTGCTTAGGAAATTTTCTAAACTAGCTGATTTGAATCCTATGAAGTTGAATCTGGTTCATAAAGTTATTGAATTGCTTGGAGACTAATTTTTAGTGTGTGATTAATAAAATAATGCCCACATAGGATTTGCAAATGTTAAATATGACGACTAAAATAATGAATTCCTTAATTTTTTTTTCTTCTGTAAACCGATTGGGAAAAAGTGCTTTATTTGTTTGGGTAAAAAAAGGGAACAGATGTTCTTTCTTAATGATTTTCAAGGTCCAATTAAAATTTCATTCTCTCTAAAATATTACTTCTTTGACCACTCTTGTTCTTATCGATAATAACAATCCTAGCTTCCACTTACTGAACACTATGTTCCCAGGAGTGCCTCATAGACCTGATCAAATTTAATTTTGATAACAGCTCAGGAGGTGTTATTAGCTCCATTTAATAGATAAGGAGACTTAGAGAGGTAAGTTGAGCAACTTGACCAGGTCCAATGGTTATTAAGTTATCAGGTTAGGATTCGAAGCTGGAACTGTTGGGTTACAAAGCTCGTTAATACTACACCATACAAATCCTTCCTGGTACCCTGTTCCATCTGTGAATGCTGCAAATGAGCAAAGAATGATGAATCAGAACACTCAGCCTACTCTCAGAGTTACAAGCCTACTCTCAAAAGGTGACAAGCTAAAACTATATTCTGGCAGAAGAACCAAATTAGTTTTCTTTATTAATAATAATAATAATAATAATAATAATAAAACAGTATTCTGAGGCACACTTATAGCAATTTATTAATAAAAGAAAACTGCTCTGAAGAGATGTGCTTAATTCTTAGAGCCAATATTGAGAAAAGAATTGCACATTGAATAGTTTAAATCATTGTGTCTGTAGCTATTTGGAAATGCTCTTTAGTCATTGAGATCACAGCTTTTACTGGGTCCAGAGTCTTACATGTTTTTTCATTCATTCACTTATTCAGTGGTTATTTCCTGAGTACCTATTATGTGCCAGGTGCTGTTCGAGGCATTTTGAGATATATCAGAGAACATAATGAATAAAAATCCTTGCCCCTAAAGAAAAAATAAATAATGAAAAACAAACAAAAGAAACAGCATCAACAAAGAAAATCCCTGACCTCATGGAGTTTCTGTCTCAGCAGGGAGAGAGAGAGAGAAATATATGTCAGATGATGCTACGTGATACCAATAGAAATATGAAGGGTAAGGAGCAGAGAAATGAGGGCTGGTGTTTAAATAGGGGGTCAAGGAAAGCCTCTCTGAGGTGTTATCATTTAAGTGGAGATTTAAAATCAGTGAGACTTAGAGAGTGAACCATGCGAATATCTAAGGGAAGAGCATGGTGTGGTCTTAGCAAGAGCAAAACAGCCACTGGGGCTGGAACAGAGAGAGGAAGGGGAGAGTTGTCCTGGGTGAGGGTAGAGAAGAATTTGGGCCTACTGTCAGTGATAGACTTTGTGGCTTTTTCTCTGAAGAAAGGAGAAGCATTAGGAGGCTATTGTAATTATCCAGGTGAAAAATTATGTGGGTGATGACAGTGGAGGGAATGACACATGATTGGACATTGAAGGAATTTTGAAAGTACCATTGACCCTTGAACAACACGGGGAATTAGGGCATCAACCCTCCCAAAAGAAAATTCACGGATGACTTCTGACTCCCTAAATTCTGGGGTCCTCAAACTACGGCCTGCGAGCCACATGCAAATACAAACATTGTATTTGTTCCGTTTTGTTTTTTTACTTCAAAATAAGATATGTGCAGTGTGCATAGGAATTTGTTCATAGTGTTTTTTTAAACTATAGCCCGGCCCTCCAACGGTCTGAGGGACAGTGAACTGGCCCCCTGTTTAAAAAGTTTGAGGACCCCTGTGGCCTAAATGCTCAATATCCACAGGGGATTGGTTCCAGGATCCCCGTGGATATCAAAATCGAGGAATTTGAAACCTGGGTATATCAAAGTCTGACTGTATACTTATTGAAAAACAACTACATATAAATGGACCTTCGCGGTTCAAAGCCATGTTGTTTAAGGGTCAGCTGTAGAATTGAGAGGATATCTGGATGGATTAGACTGCAGGGTGTGAGATATTGGGTGTGAGGTGTGAGAAATCTTTGTGTTAACATCCTAGAGAATTAACTTCGGAGGGAAGAGCCTTCAAAGTCTCTCTCAGGCCTGGCCCTTGTGTGCATTTGACCTTGGAGGTTAAGTCAATAGGAGTCATTGAAACTCTAACTGCTAAGAATAGGAAGACATGAGTGGTAGCCCTTCGGCCCAAGCTGGTTCGCACTTGGCAGAGGTTGCCAAGCTAAATAGTGGCTGTGGGAAAAGAACAGATGCCCCTTCCAATGAACTGTTTCCAGGTGGTCAAGGAGAGGAACTGAACCTAAAGGTGCAAGAACAGGCTGATCAAGTCTTCAGGAGTTTCAGGGCTGGGAACACAGTGTGGAACCCAGCCCTGGGTTGCCCTAAGTTTTCCCCCTCCCCCCCTCCCTCCCTTGCTTCCTTCTGTTCTTTTTCTTCATTCCCCACTCCCTCCTTGGCCCTGCTTTTTGCCTGCAGGAAGGTACAATTTACACTTGGTTCTCAAACTCCAGCAGGTGTCAGAATTACCTGGAGTGCCATGAAAACACAGATTGCTGGGCCCCACTCCCAGAGTTTCTAATTGTGTGTGTGTGTGTGTGTGTGTGTGTGTGTGTGTGTGTGTGTGTGTGTAGATGAGGCCGAGAGGGAGGGAGTTGACATTTTGCATTTTCTTACAAGTTCTCCGGTGGTGCTTGAGAAGAACCCTTGCTTCTTGTATCAGAGGCTGTGCAAAGCCGTGAGTCTAGAACTCCGCCTGGTGAGACGTGAGCCGGGAAGGTTCCAGCTCACAGGCCTTTCCAGTCCCCTGGGAAACGGTCCACTTACCCCGAGGTGTTTCTCGGCCGCCCTGAACCGCTGAGAATAAGAAGCAGAAGTTGGCGAAGTGAAGGCGCGGGACGTCCTTCCAGACTAGACAGCCCCTCGGGACTCGGCGGCGGAGCGGAGCGAGGGCGGGAAGGCGCGGGGCCGGCCCCCAGTTCCTAGGAGGGCGCGGGCCTGGAGGAGGCGTCCCAGAAGGCGGCGCCTCTCGGAGGAAGTTGCCCTTTAACTGCAGCAGAGCCCCGTGGCCTGTCGCATCGGCCGCCGGGAGCGAGCAGCGGGTGCCCACCGGAGGGAGCCGTCCGTGCCGCGCCCAGCACCGCGCGCCCCGCCGCCATGGGCGCCTCGGCCTCCAGCCAGCTGGACGAGGGCAAGTGCGCCTACATCCGAGGTACGCCCCGGGGGGCCCTGGAGCCAGACGGGCCGCCCGGGCACTGGCCCCAGAGGGGGCGCCCCGGCTGCCACGCCCCGCTCTCTACCTGCGGGCGCGGGGGTCCCCAGGTTCCACCCGGCGCGGGTGCAGCTGGCGGCGCCGGGGATGCTGGGGAAGGGCCGCTGGAGGGCGGGGAGAGGCAGGTGCAGGCTGCGGGCGGGGCAGGACCTCCTTTCCTCCGCTGGGGCCCCGGGGGGGCTGGGGTGTGTGTGTGTCTGGGCTGCCCTCCGTCCAGAAACACCTGTCCCTCCAGGCCCAGGGCTTCTTCCTTCTGAGCTCCTTCTGAACTTGCCGCGCAGAAACCGGGGATATCCCTGGTTTCTAGAGATTTCCCTGGGGATTCCCGGCCCCTGGAGCAGAATTTCCCTCCTGGTCATGCTGGCCTGGTTTTCTGAAACGCGGCCTTGGCCAGGGTTTCACTTGAACTTCAAAGAGTCCATGGGGGGGACGGTTTCATCAGAGGCAGAAGGGACAATGCCATAGTGCGCCCAGGTTGTAGGGCTCCTTTCCCTCCCCGGAGAACGGGGGACGCAAAAGAGGAACACGAAGATATTTTGTAACTGTTGCCAAAGTCACCGAGAGGGAGGAGAAACTCATTTTGAGAGAATTTCAGAGATGTGGTGACTCAGAAAAGAGTGTGAGGCAGAAGAGAAAAACCTGACCTGAAGTGAAACTGCAGGAAATCATGACTCTTATCTCCTGGGTGGTACTCGGCCTCCCTGTCTTCCCTCCCCACAACCTTGCCCACAGCCACTACCTAGCATTTGGTTAGAATTGAATGCTTCTCTGGTTTTAGAAATAGTTTCTAAAAGAGGCACGGAACTCTGGCCTGAAACCTGACTTCTGTTAAGAAATGGCTCGGTTCTTCCTAATACCTCTGTCTGGCCCCCTAGGTCTTTTTCTAAGAAGAAAACACGTATTTAGGGTTCCTATTCCATATTTGCTTTTAGCCACCACAACACTGAGACCCATTGGAAAACGCTATCAAGTCGGGGCACTTGAGCGCAGTGGCATTGATTCTGCAGATTCCTGCCCTGGTGTTTTTGGAGCTAGAAGGTCACCCACAATCCATACTGTCAAGTGGATAAAATGTGGTCAAGTATCTCTTGGCTGTTGTTTATGTAAAATGGGGACAAGATGGATGACTTGTTTATATTAGTAAAAGAGCTAAACTAAGCCTACCTTAGTCTTACGCATTTGGCTAAAGGATTGTTTTTTTCACCAGTGTGCAGAGGACTGAAAGAACCATGTAGAACATAGTGTGAAGGCGCTTGCTTTGAGTTATTAGCAAAACATGTTTCTGGCACTTATTTTGTAAGATTTTATCTCACTGAAAAACACCTGATGTTGAAGCATGGCCATCTACAGTAATCACTGGAAGACCAGCCATGAGAGGGATCAGCTTGCTTGAAGAAGACCTCAGGGTCATGGTTATTGTTGGTGCAGACACTGTACTCATGTGATCAGAGCATGTGTTACCTTTGTAATTCTGAAATTAGATTGTTACACAGAAGAGATAGGAGAGAGTTAGTGCCCAGGAAGGATTTGGGTGACCTTGACTGCATCCTCTAGTCTTGTTCAATTTCATCTCCTCATTCTTTGTTAGGGAGGGAACTTTGAAGGTATGTCAGGAAGAGCAGAGTTAAAATCAGAATGCCTCCAGGGAAAATGAGACATTGCCTCATTTGAGCATACACGTCTTGCCAAAGAAGAAAAGTGCATTGGAAAAATGCATGGTGTTGTGAATTGTTAGTGCATGAGCAAATGAAGGTCATTGGGCTGGGATTTCCTGATGGCTTTGAAGCTCCTGATCCCTGAAAAAAAAAAACTATCTTCTTGGCTTTGCCCATTCTTTAGCCCTTTCTCAAGCTATGATTTAATTGTAAGCAGAATGATTGAAAGTGTGACAGTAAAAATTAAACACATTTTTATGACCCATTTCTCATAAAGTAGCTGCCAGTGAAATATTATATATAGATTTGAAAGCTCTTGTGCGGAGACAATAAGTTTCTTTCAAGCTTGATAAACTTGCTAACATATGGAGAATAACTAGTCAGTATATTTGGAGTGAGTTTTGTTAACTTCATCTTGTATGTGTTAGAAACAGCTGTCTGAATCAGCATTTACTTTTAGGTGAATCATTGAACAGCTACCATTTGGTTTGTGTGCCTCAAAATTGTGTGTGAATAGTGATCTTTGTCACATGGATATTTTGAAAGTACATTATTTCTTAGAATTTATTAAATCTCTAGGTAAAGGGGTATCAGAAGTGTTAAAAACTTACTTCATTTCCAACGATGCTAGTTTTGAAAATTACTTCCACATTCACATTTCCCACAACAAAATAATTTTTCAGAATTGTTTCTAGAAGACTTTCAATAATTTCCCTTGATAAGATGTTTTTACCAATAAATAATAGAGACCAACTTATAAGCACATGGGCGGTGTCATCTGTTAGATTTCAGGGAATGACCTAAAAGTGTCTTCTTTTGATGAGAAAGAAAGCTTAGACAATCTAGGTACCAGTGGCCAATTTAAGACAGTTTTCTCTTTTGATGTCTTATTTCTTTTTCCTTCTTAAACTGTTGGTATGCCTAAAAATGAACCATATCTTCAAAAACAGAATATTTTCCTGTTTAAGCACTATTTTTTTTTCCTTTTAAAAATTACCCTTTAATTGTTAATTTATCAAAAGAAAACTCTGAAAACTCTTCCACATAATCCTATGGAGGGTCAGAAAGTACTGGAAAATCAGTGCTGCAGCTGAGAACTGTGGGATACACAGGTCCTGGATGGGGGCTGCTGGGCACTTCTAGGCCTGGTAGCAGCAAGTAGCAGTTAGGAAAACTGTTCTTTTCTTAGATGTGTACTGTAAGAGTTAACTTAGGTGGCTGTATAGAAACTATTCAGATAACAGTATCCAGAGTGAAGTCCTCATAGACCAGGTGAGTGAAAGGTAGGAGAGCTGTGCATGTCTGCAGGCTTCTCAGTGTAGGTGTGTCGCACCAGTCCACAGAGTTGCTTATTCTTCACTCAGGATTTGTTGGTAGGAGATGGGCATAGACCTGGTCTGACTTATCTGGATAATTATGACAAAGTTATCTTAGGGTCCAGTTTATCTGGCTAGTACTGGCAGTAGGAAGTGGGCAAAGATTATAACATTAGTATTTGTTTCAGTTCCTAATTTGCAGAAATGAATGGGTTCTCCTAAGAAATGAGGGATTGCAGCTTCCCCGATGGGAGGAGCAAGGATGGAAGAAAGAAGGAGCAGACCCAGTATAAATAACACACAAACCTATATGGATCACATTGTCTTTTGATAAAAAAAGAATGCCTTCAGTGGATAGAGTGTCGGCCTGTGGACTGAAGGGTCCCAGGTTCAATTCCCGTCATGAGCTCATTCCCGGGTTGTGTGTTCAATCCCCAATTGGCAGCCAATCAAGGATTCTCTCTCATCTTGATGTTTTTATCTCTCTCCCTTCCTCTCTGAAATCAATAAAAAAATACATATTTTAAAAAAATGCCTTCAGGCTTGCCAACCTACCAATGAAGCTAGTAGGAGTTTTAAATTAGGAAAATGACTGCAGGTTGGGAATTTCTAGTGGCCATAATTACTTTTGACCACCTTTAGATTTTGTGGACGGAAACCAAGACTTTGGGAATTTAGTGTGAATTGAGATTTTCTTAGCTTCAACAGAAATAAAGACACTCACTCAGACACATTCACATTTTCTCCTGTACTTGTGGAAGAAACAGTGACCTTCCTTCTTGGGTCCCCATTTATGCTTTGATAAACTCATTGAGGCAGATGTTAAATCAAGATCTGGCCCGGCTGGGGTGGCTCAGTGGTTGAGCATCGACCTATGAACCAGGAGGTCACAGTTGGATTCCTGGTCAAGGCACATGCCTGGGGTGGGGCTGGATCCCCAGTGTGGGGTGTGCAGGAGGCAGCCAATCAGTGATTCGCTCTCATCATTGATGTTTCTATTCCTCTCTTCCTCTCTCTTCCTCTCTGAAATAAATGATAAAAAATATATTTTTTAAAAAAGATCTGCTCAATGAAGCACTTCTTTTTTCTATGGTCATTGGCTGCATTGCCAAGGGTGCTTTAAATAATATTAAGTCCTAACATGGCAATAGTGGTTTTAATGTTTTTCATTTTTAAGTATACTTTTGCTGTGGACTACTGAACTGATTGTAGTTTTACTCCTGTTGTAATCTTTGGTTCCCAGGTGGAAAGTGCAACAGCAGGAGCTCAACCATAACAGTGGTTTCTAATATAACTAAAATAAATGCACTGTGAAAGTTTTACAAAATATGCAGTGTGAACTTTGATGGTGAATTTTAATCTCCTCATCAGAAATTGTAATTTATTTTGTCAGTGAAGCTGGGTGATACCATTTAAAGAAACAAGGTACATACAACAGTTTGCATTGTGAATGGGAAAGAAAGTCAGAAGTGAAGATGAAAGAATAATGGAAAGGGGGACAAAAGAATAACAGAGTATAATTCATCTGCTACAGTCTGTTTAAAACATTTTAGTAAAACTTAGGACTTGAGAGCTAAAATGCTAACATTTGCAAACGAAACCACACACACACCACCACCACCACCACCACCACCACCAAACAAAACTCCAAATGCAATACAGATTTTTCTCCTTTGAAACTGAAAATTCATTTAAAAAAGGGACTAGCAAGTTTCTGCCAATA